ACCTCCATGATAGACAGAGGGAATGCTGTAGACATAGTATATCTTGACTTTAGCAAAGCTTTTGACAACATGCCCCATGATCTCCTGATTAGCAAGCTAACTAGCTGTGGGCCGGGTAGATGACGTATCAGGTCGATACACAATTGGCTACAGCATCGTACTCAGAGGATGATGATTAACGGCCCCTTCTCTAGCTGGGAGGAGGTCACAAATGGGGTACCCCAAGGTGCAGTCCTGGGTCAAGTGCTCTTCAACATTTTTATTAATAAGTAGGATGAGAAAGTGCAGGGAATGCTTGTCAGATTTACAGATGAAACAAAATTGGGTGGGGTAGCTAATACAGTGGTGCCTCGCTAGACAGTTACCCCGCATGACAGTTTTTTCACTAGACATTAACTTTTTGCAATCGCTATAGCAATTCGCAAAACAGTGATTCCTATGGGGGAATTTCGCTGGACAATGTTTGGGCCCTGCTTCACAAACTGATTTTTGCTAGACAACGATTTTGACAGCTCCCTCCACGCTCGCAAAACGGGCGTTTTTGGGACCTAAGCTTCGCAAGACAGCTATTTAAACAGCTGATCAGCAGTTTGTAAAGTGGCTTTCCTATGGCCACTCTCCGCTAGACAATGACGATTCTTCCCCATTGGAACACATTAACCAGGTTTCAATGCATTCCAATGGGGAAATGCTTTTCGCTAGACAATGATTTCGCTAAACTGTGATTTCGGTGGAACGGATTATCATCGTCTAGCGAGGCACCACTGTACACTGGAAAACAAGAACAAAATTCAAAATGATATTGATAGGCAGGACCACTGGGCTTCTTCTTCCTGGCGCTGGGAGAGTTGGTCTTTCTCAACCCTGCCCATCTGGATTCTCTGGCCAGACTTGGGGGAAGCAGGGGGGGCAGGGCTGGGCCAAAATAACGAAATTGTCTTCTGAACCCAGATCTGCATCACGAGAGCAGCAGCATGTCCTGGAGAATCCCGAATTATCTTGTGCAGGACCCAATGATTCCATGGGCCCTTGATCCAAATCAGTGCCAGTCAAAGGATTTCCCACTTGAATCAGATCTGCCCCAAGAGGAAGAATATTTGGGAGCATCTGAACCCAGTGGTGCCTCAACTTAGGAATGTCCCAAGATACGACCATTCCGAGTTACGACCAGCTCCGGCCACAAAATTTTGCTTCAACTTGTGGCTTGAGCTTTGAGTTGAGAACGGAAAAAGGCAGGAGGAAAGGGCAGGGAATTCAAATTTGCTAACAGAGGAGGAAAGGGCAGGGAATTCAAATTTGATAACCATTGCTAGGCGAAGCGGCTGCTTCTTTGTAGCTCTTTCGTCCCGACGGTTAGAGTGAGTGTGATCGGACGGGGCTTGGGACTGCCTGATAAGGTGCTGCTTTCTGCTTTTTAGGTGGGTTTTGCAGGGTGGGTTTGGGCTGGGGGGGTTATGTTTCTGTGCTTTGTTGTTATCTTTTTGTGGGGGTCTTTTTGCACTCCCAGCGCCTTCTAATGGGGCTTGCTCCATTGTTTATTTTTGGTTTTTGGTTTTTTGCAGCCCTTGCACCATCTGATGGGGCCTGCTCTTTTGTTTATTTTTGGTGTTGTTTTTTTAAAGCCCCAGTGTCTTCGGAGTTTGCTCCGTTTTTGTTTGTTTGTTTTTACTTGCAGCCCCAGTAGGTTCCTATGGGGATTGCAGTGTTTTATTTTTATTTTTTATTTTTTTGGTTTTTGTTTTTCTGAGACGGATTAATCGTGTTCCAATGCATTTCAATGGGAAATGGTACTTCGACTTACGACCATTTTGAGTCACATCCATGTTCTGGAATGGACTATGGTCGTAAGTGGAGGCACCACTGTAGAGGGACCCTACAAACCCCCAGTTGAAATCAAAGCCCTTCCAGGATTCTGCCTGCTTCGGGGTAAGGGGGGAAACAAAATATGTTGCTGACAAACACATCACAAACTCTCTTACACAATATCTGAGTTATAAAACAAATAATTGAAGAACTGAAGCAAACCAAGGGAGAATGAGTCGCCCCCGTTAATCTAGTTTCGGCCAATATGTCAACTATATCAAGTCAATGTCAGCACTCAAGTTCATTTTTTAGATGTTCTGTCAGGGGCTACAGAAACAAGCGAAACGTTCCTGTCTTGAACAGGGAGTCGGACTCATGTTTTACAAGCCCTTGGGGACATGGGAGTGTGTTTCCTGTCAACTGATGGGAGAATGAGTCGCCCCCGTTAATCTAGTTTCGGCCAATATGTCAACTATATCAAGTCAATGTCAGCACTCAAGTTCATTTTTTAGATGTTCTGTCAGGGGCTACAGAAACAAGCGAAACGTTCCTGTCTTGAACAGGGAGTCGGACTCATGTTTTACAAGCCCTTGGGGACATGGGAGTGTGTTTCCTGTCAACTGATGTTACAAAGAAAGTTCAGTTCTCCTAAAAGTAACTTTTGCAAGATTGCCATTGGCAAAAGGAAGCAATCCAGACTCTGTGCTGTCGGTGCTCCAGAAAGGGATTTAAATATCCATCTGATCCCACACCTTCAGTTCCGCTTCTCTGCCTGCCTTGCGTCAAGGAAGGATTAAACCCATCCATTAATGTCTTCTTCCCACCAGCTAAAATCAACATTCTCTAAATCCATTGGCTTATCAACCTGCTTGGCCAAATGCTTCCTGGAGGGGCTTGCAGCGGAAGAGCTGTTCCACCTTCCCGCCTTTAGCTAACAGGATCCCTCACAAAATAGCAAGCACAAGATGTTGTTGTTCTTCTTGTTTTGGGGGTTTTAAATCTATCTCTTTTTTTTGCTGGCAAACACATTACAAACTCTCTTACACGATATCTGAGTTATAAAACACATAATTGAAGAACTGAAGCAAACCAAGGGAGAATGAGTCGCCCCCGTTAATCTAGTTTCGGCCAATATGTCAACTATATCAACCTAACCAGTGGTGTACAAGTCAATGTCAGCACTGAAGTTCATTTTTT